AATGAGAAGAAAAGTTAGTAAATGAACTGTCAGGTCAAACGTTCCCTACTGTCTTGACAACGTTCCTCAGGAATAGTAGGTTCAATCTGATGGCAAACAGTTGCTCGCTGTGTTATGTATGTGATCCTTCCTGTTTAGAAGAAGGTGAGATAACAATCATTGGAGTTTTTATAAGTACTAAATAAAATAAAATAAAACTACTAAAACAGAAATAACTATAATCAAGAGACAATAGGGTGGTGGTTAAAACAGTTTAATAGAAGGAACAGATTCACTGCTTCACTCTTAAAGGGGTTGTTTTCTCTGCTCAAGAATTAGCACCTTTTGGCTTTGTCCTAATTTCTTTGCCTGCCAACTCTGATTCCTCAGCTCATAGTCTAGGTGGCTCACAAGTTTCCATATTCCTATGGCTCCCTTGACTCCAACAGGTGCTTAGTTCAGAACCTTAAAATGGACGAGTTGGCCCCTTATTCCTAAGGTGACCAGTAGCGTTTTTGCCATGACATCTACCTTCCCCCAATGGCTAAGCTGTTTGAAATCCCTTGCTTATGGAAGTTCCTTTCTCAGTTTTTGGTTGATTTTCAGTTGTAATTTGAGAACTATAAAAGGCAAAGGGCTTTCACATTTGATCCTATCCTATCTCAGATCCTCTGATCTCACTCTTCACTTTCTCTGACTTTCCAAATTCTTTAGGATTTAGTTCTTGTAATAGTTAGTACATTTTATGTAATTGTAATTGAAGATTGAAGACTCAACCATCATGACAATGGAGTTTGATCTTTCCTCTTCTCTTGCTATTTCTTATACTATGTTTGAGTAGAGTTCTTTGTAGTCTGATTTCAATGGAACTCAAGGATGATTTATGTATAGTTGATTGAATATCATGAGTTTCTTTTATGTGATGATATGAAGTTTCCTGTATCAATTCTTTCCATCAAAGGAGTAGTGTAGAACAGGGATGTTTACATTATTTCTACAACTGGTAATTTCATCATCAGTGTCCTAGTATTTAAGGGATTGATGCTAGGACTCTGATGTAATCTTTATGATCTTAGTGTTTAATGCATGTATTAAGAAAAAAATCACCAAGGGATTGGGGTTCTTGATTAATGTATCAACCAGGATAGTAAGGGATTACATTTTGGTGATAAGAAAAAGATTGATTAACATCACATGGGAGATAATCCATAATAGGACTGATTCTTACATAAATTCATGCTTGAGGGAAATTGATTTCTAACTACTTGTTTTTAAAATTGCAATTCACATTTTATTTATTTTATCAAGTTTTAATACAATTCAAATTTCTGGTGACAATTATCAAAGCAATCAATAACTTTTTGTTTGATTCAACTTAAGTATATATGGTTAGTTGGTGTTTGAACACAAATCTTCACGGGAACGATCTTTATTCATCATTTTATTACTTGTACGACTAGTACACTTGCTAAAGTTGCAACAGTGTACGAACACCTCTCAAGTGTACGAGATGCAGGATCATGTCATCACATGGTCTTTGAGGAGTGTTTCCTGTAACACCCCGTGTATACCCGGTTTGTTAACATATCATCGTATTAAGCTGCGCTTAATTAAAAATGCGGAATATCTTTTTCTTTTCAATTATGACATCATTATACTTAGCCAAGTTGATTACTTAATCAATTTCTTAAAAACAGTGCCTGTATCTAAATTGCAAATAGACATCTAACTGAAATACCTCATAATATAGATAAAGTGAGTATCTATGTCACGGATCCACTACACGTAGTCCGGACAATAATCCAGATACATTAATACAACTCTAACATAAAACAAGATATAATCAAGTCTATGTGGCATGGACAATCCTCATGCTCACCAAATCAATAGCATAACCAACAGAGTCTCAACAGAGAAATCCATAAACTGAAACTAAAAGCATAAGACAGTAAATAAGATCCACATCCAATCATAACAGCATATCAGTATAAGCAGCATAAACATATAACATATATCAGCTAAGCTCTGGCCTCCTGCCACTAGAGGTCTCAACCCCCGCATTACCTGAACCTGAAATAAGCATTCCCCAAACGTGGGGTGATATCTCTAAACCAGAAATCTCAGTAAGACAAGGGGTCCTCAAGGATCTTCCACCCCAAGCTCACTTACATGTGCAATATAAGTTCAAAAGCAGTAATTTCCAATATAAGTTCCAAAACTATGCAGTGCAATAGATATTCATGCCATGTGTGTCAATACTATTCTACTGGCCAGAAAAATGTAGGAATACGTCTATTACCCACACGTAGTACAAGGAACACCGCTTTCACCTCACCCACAGCCTCACCATCTTGTATGTACCACATACTCAGGCTTACCGTATAGGTGGAACACCACATGCATATCATAAGGGCACTAGCATATAACAGCTCAATAGCATTTCCAAAACATCAAAAGCATGTAACATAGCATGCATATAACTATACCCCCATGGGACATGGTGGAACCACAACATGGCTAAACCAATGACACGAAAGCTTACCTTACAGGCTAACTATCCAATGCCAAGAGTCCACACAAGCTCAAGGCCCACAAACAGAACAATCACAATCTGCCCATACCATAATTAATCATCAATAATCATAGTTCAGATTCCACTAAGTGATTAAGGTTTTCTTACTCATTTTAACTCATTTCATGTTGTTTCTGCATGAAGTATTCGAATACTCCACGAGTAGTATTCGATTACTTTCATTTAAGTATTCGAATACTACCAAGTATTCGAATGCTTTTCCCCCCAGTATCCGAATACCACAATATCCGAATACTAAACCTCACTGTATTCAAATACTTTTCAGTATTCGAATACTTCTTCAAAGGTATCCGAATACTTTTCTTCCCAGAAAAGTATTCCAATACTCCTGCCATGAGTATTCGACTACCAGATTAAAACTACCAATGCAAATCTTTACCAAATACTCTAAGATTTTACTATGTTAAACTAGACATCTCAATCTTTCCAACGACATATCTTATGCCTCAATTGGAGTTGTATAACTCCGATTATGAATTTTGCAAAGTTCCTACAACAAGCTGAATTTCCAGCAATAGGGTCTCGACTTCAAACATACACTGAGAGAAACAAACTTATCCAATGGATCTAAAAATTTACAAGGTTGTAACCCTATGTGTTAGCTTCACATAGGTCCAATCCTCACTCAATTTAGAGAGCTCTGAAGCTCGAGATATCGCAATTTTACTAAACTAGGTCGCTGTTGTCTCGCGAAGTATTCGATTACTGCCTTTTTCCAGGAAGTATTCGAATACTGCCCGAAAAGTATTCGAATACTTCTTCGACAGAATGCAGAAAATTGAGTTTTAAAGGTAAAATCGACCTCCAATGATCCAAACTCGATCTGGAGTCCAAGAACTCCTTAAACAGATGTTTATTAACATGTTATGAACCCAGAAACACATTCCTTTATTCAAATGGTTCAAGTTATGATTTTTAATTATTTAAACAAGCTTAAATCATCAAAATGCACAAAAGATGATCATGTATACCTCCAATGCGCCACAACTTCGAAAATGGTATAGCAAAGAGGTCTCCAACGACACACCAAGGTTCTGACTTTGTCAAGCCACAAATTAACACCAAAGCTTAGACCTTTCACCAACAAAATGACTTCTTGGAGCCTCCAATGGTATGATCAAGGCTCACACCACCTCATACCCCAAGTAAACAGCTCCAAGACAGCAACTCCACCTCACCACAGAGGCCACAATCTCAAAAATGAGACACTCCACACTCTCACTAGACCAACTCTCACAAGCTAAAGTGTTTTGGTAGAGAGAAAAGGAGGAAAGATGATTTCTTTGGTGAGTTTACAAGGGAAGGAGCCAAAGAACAGAGGAAGGCTGGTCAGCTGCTCAAGACACTTACGTAGCATAGCTTATGGCCTAGGGTTTTGGGCCAAAGTGAGTATTTATAGCTCACTTAAAATTAAACACACAGTATTAACGAAAATAGCTACGCTTAGCATTTTAATCTCAAACTTTAGATTCTGAACCTACTCATTTTTCTAAGATTTATCATATTTTTATTTTATTTTTCGGAGCACCTTTCCGGTACGCGCTTTTCCATAGCCAGTATCAGTTCTGGCATCAGTTCTCATTATTTTAACTTGAAACTTGAAATCATAGTCCTACATATTATTCTAGGAATATTCATTAACTTATTATAATTTTTCGGGGTACTTCATCGGTACGCATTTATACCGACTAGCAGAACCGATATCTGCACTTTACGTCAGAAAAGCGACTTTCAGCATTATTACTCACTTACTATAATTATTAGTCTCATAATAATTATTAGGGTCGATTATGGAATTATTTCCTAATTTCACATAATTAATTTATTAACTTCCTTAATTAACGGTGCGGGTTCTTACATTCACCCCACCTTTTTAGGATTTTGTCCTCAAAATCAGAAAACATACATGTCCCGAAGCGCGAGATACTGTCGGAGAAGCTCGTCCTCTCGCTTCCAGAATTACCCTTCAGGAATTCTTCCCGTTCAACGTACTCTGACCATCGAAATTGTAACATCCCGCATAATTAGGGACTTCTATAAATTATAATTAAGAAGGTGTAGCAAACTTGAAAATTTGAATAAAACTTATGTTTAGAGTGGAATTTATTTATGTTAGGGAAATTATTTGATTTGTATGGACACGTGAGTGCATATGTATATATATGTTTTAAGAAATTAAAACCTCTAGTTAAAAGAATTAGATTAATTTAATGTAATCTATAAAAGATTATATTAATACTTAGAAGAATTAAGAGTAATAAAAATATACAAGCTATGGGTCATAAGGAGAGGAAATTGAACCCTCACCTACACTCATAGGGTACGGCCCAAGCCCTTGGAGAACCAGGTCCAGCCTAAATTGCTTTAAACATTATCACTAGTGGCTAAGTGAAATCTTCCTACATGAAATTCCATTGGTCCAAGGCAAACCACACCCACCTTATCTCCTCACATGTGCACATAACCTTGAGGAGGGCATCAGCCCATTCCTGCACACCCTTATTCTGAACCAAATGTAACCCCCACTCCCTTCCTAGGCGTTGAATGGTTGAACCAAGAAGAACACAAATTGTCTATCTTCCTCTTAATTCTGAAACCGAACTCAGCCTTTTCCTGCACCCTCCACCGTTAAAAATAAAAGAAGAAAAACAGAGGGGTACTAAGCTTAAATCGTTTTCACCTTATATTCCCACAAAACCGTAACCTTCAATCAGCTAAATTCCCATTCGCTCTCATTCTGACTCAGTCTTAGAGCAACTACGGAGGAGATTACCATCTCAATTCATTCTTTATTTTTCTCTAGCTTGGCCGAGGAACTATCTTAGGAGGGGAAGTATTCCTTGCTTTCTTTTAGCTCCCTCTTGCTTGGAACGGTTCTAATTGAGTTTTTCCACCGAATGAAATTGGTCCAGCCTTGATTGGGTTTCTTCTTCCCTTGCATGCAGATGGGTAGCTCGGATTATTGCAAGGAGGAGGGTGAGGGTACCGCTCTTCTTTTGGGTGATGCCTTTGGACCGGTTGTGAGCACTTTGGTGTGTACGAAGAGGTAGCAGTTGAACCTCAAGTCCTTTTCTTTCCTCTGTCTTAGCCGCTGTGTGTAGGCTAAGGGTCCTGATGTTGTTATTCTTATGGTTTCCTTCCTTGGCTCAGCTGAAGAGTGTAGGCCATAGACGCATGCCAGTTTAGGACTCAAATTTTAGCTTGTACCGTAGCCCCCTTGTGAAGTTGTGGGACTGTTTTGGTGGAATTTATTGTGTATCAAACCTGTATTCCTTTCCCCTTGGGGCGCACTGCCAGCAGTGTAGGAGAAGACAAAAACCATGTTCAGCAGAATGGGAAAGTGAAGGAACTCACACAACACTCGATTTCTGCCCTAGTTGATTTGGGAATTCTAAGTGACTACAAGTAGATGTAAGTAATTTATCAAATCCTCCCTTGTGTTTTGTTTGTTCGGCTCTCATGCATTTTAGGAGGATGCATTATCTTAACTATGCTTCCCCTTAAATTCTGTCAAATTGGACAGCCTTGGAATTTAATGTTGTAAACTGAAAATTGGTGAATCTAGATTTAGCATCGTATAAATCGCTGGACTGCTCTGTTGTTAGAAAAATAATGTGTAGAAGTAATATATTCACATGAGTAATAATGCCTAGGTGATGTAGGTAATGTATGTAAGAAAAAGAAATTGAACCTCTTAAGTAATAGTCATGTGACCGAATTGGTATGCATATAGGGATAACGAAATTCTTCTAATTGCTGTCGATTGATTTAATAAATTATAAGATAGAAAGCCTTTAATTCTGAAGCATAATGACTTGGTTAGAAAACTAGAAATTGAGAGATGATAAATCTGAGTTTAAGCCTCTTTTCTTCCCCTTTTGTTTCGGTCACTAATTACCTGAAAGGGGAATATATAAATGGCTGAAATTTCTTCCCTTGGTTCTGTTTTGGAGCGCTAATTTTTATGATTAAGGAGCTGTAAATTTTGTCAATTACCTTCTCATGTTGTATAGCTGATTAAACCTTTCACCTTGATACTGTCATGTCTTAAGAAATTATGTTTGGGATTTGGAATATGGCCCCATCAAGGGCTAGATTACTCTCTTAGACTAAGATTATGTACATAGCCCTGCATGTGTGGGATGTATGTAGACAGCTTTCTTAAGTCTCATTAATGCTATCTAAAATCATGTAGGACATGCTAGGTGAAATGATAAAATTATAAGCACATATGGATAATGAAAAACCGAACCATGTGTATAAAGAGTTATGGATTTTGGCACTTGCGCATAAGTAAGGAGACCAAACATAAGTCACAAAAATAAAAGATTTGTTTTGTAAGAGCCAAAAAGTACAATCATAACTCGAGTATCTAAAGTAATGGAAATTGTATGCAACGTATAGTAAACATAAACTAAATATATATTAAGCACCTAATTGATGATTGAAGACCGAATGTGCATGTGTAGATTACCTTGGACTTTTGTCAATTTAAGACAATTGGAAGATCAATATAATGGCAGAAAATTCACTTAGTGTGTCAACAGGGAAACTGATCATAAATCAAGGATTAGGAGAATGGGACAACTGTATAATATATAGAAAATAAACGTGATAAATTCTGATTTGATGTATCTATTTGTTTAGGTGCACAAGTTCTTAGATAATGGGACGGTTCGATGATGTTTGGAATGCTTGATTTAAAAGTAAAGTGCCAAGGTATGTGTTTGGTGGTGAGACCTACTGTGACTATTAGCTAGAGTATGGAATTTTGAACTGATGCTCACATGTGCTTTATGCTTAGTATTCAGCTATATGATATATGTATTCTGCTTTGGACTTGTCTTGATGGAAAATTCTGCCTATGGAAGTATTTGTTATTTGGCAACTTGGTATTACATATACAAGAGATATATGCTATATGATTATGATCTAGTCATGCATATGCACATCATGTTTCACCTGTGTCTGTTTGCGTGTGTCGAACATGCCATTGCATACCACATTATGCATTCATCTTGGAGACTGAAGTATATAATAAATATAAGCATACGTTTGAGCACGCATCATATAGGCATCTCTACGGTACCAGGGTATGGGACACTTGGCTTCAGTCCGCATAGGTTGCAGTTGGAACCCTCTGAGGAGCCATTAAGGGAGGGACCTCCACTGTGCTTGTTAGTACGTGCACGACGATGCTATGATCGTACACCTTTGGCGTTATATACGCATCTTGATTAGTACCTTTATATACGCACTTTGATTATATGTTAGCATTTGCCCGGAAAAATTAAATGTTGATGCGAGTGTTTTGGAATTTTGTACCTAGTCTAATATTGTTTCTGTAATGGTTTTATTACCGCACTACTGGGATTTCTCTCACCCCTTCGGGGGCTGCATATTTATAAATTGCAGGAAGATAAAGAAATATTTGATAAAGCATGTCATTGGAAGTACTTGGTTGATGCTCTGCTGTTTGAGGATTACTGCTGTTAGTTCTGTTTCTGTTGGATTAGATGCTGAAAGATTATATGCAATAAGATGTTATGAAGATTAGTAAATTTGTTTTGGGAATTGAATTCTGAAAATTTGATGAAGCATTGCTGAACTATGTAATTATTTTTGTGCATAATATCTTGAGAATCATGCATGATGTTATTGCCGTTCCGATATCCAACTTATGTTATGTTTTACTTTCTATGTGTTGGACATGATTTAATTGAGTAATAGTGTGAGATCTTTTGAAGAATTACATGATAGGATGTATATTCTCTTTTAAAAAAGAAGAGTAGCATGATATGTATATGTTTGGTATTTAGTTTGCGAAAATAATTCTGCTGTATTTTAAAAATTCGGATTTTTGAACTGTTTTTGTGAGCATTTTGCGAGTTGTCGTTCTGGGGCTACAGACCTCCGATTGAGGTATATTTTATATGGATGTAAAGCACCAATTGTGTTCTTTTAGATTATGTAAACCTTACAATGAAATTTTGAAAACTCGAATTATTATGATTTTCACAAGTCAAGAGGTTTTTAGAAAAATACACTTAATTTTGAGGAACTTGCGAGTTCTGTTTCGTGGGGCTAGAGACCTCCGATTCGCGTATAATTTATATGTACGCGAAGCCCCAGATGTCTAGTTTCTTCGTAGCAAAGAATATTTTTGTAAATTTTTGTACTCGGATTTTTCATAATGTTCTCAAGACAGTAAGGTCTGTCAGGAAAATAATATTTTCAGCAAGTTAAGAAATTTTAAAAGTGCACTCTGATTTTTGTAAGTGACTCGATTTCAATTATAAGTTTTAATTAGCAACATCAAAATGAATTTTTAGTATTCAAGTAATGACATTAAGAACTCTAATCCGCTTAGCAAACAACTCTTTTGGATGCATACAAGGGAGGGTGTTACATAAATGATCTCACTCCTCAGCTGCTTCTCGCCACGATCGAGAAACTTGAGTGGTCCGATGGGAGTTTTCAAGTTCTCCCGAACCTCCACAACATCCGGTTGCACCACGTGAGAAGGGTCCGCTACAAACTTGTGAAATTGAGACACGTAAAACACGTCGTGGGTGTTGGTCAAGTTCAGAGACAAGGAAAATCGGTAGGCAACAGGTCCTACTTTACCACGTAACTGGAATGGCCCAATGAATCGCGGGCTTAGTTTCCTCACTCTGAGTTCCCGAACAACATCGGTGACAGTGAAAGTCTCACAAACACGTGCTCACCCTTACTGAACTCCAGTGGACGATGCTTAACATCATAGCAACTCTTCTGGCGATTCTGCGCCTACTTCAGCTTTTCTCTGATTATCTGGATCTGTTGGGTAGTATCTCGGACAAAGTCCAAGCCAAAAAGCTCCTTATCTCCAACCTTAGACCAACAGGTAAGAGTTCTACACCTCCTTCCAAACTGCGCCTCGTAGGGTTCCCTGCCCAGGCTAGCATGGAAACTGTTGTTGTACGAAAATTCCACCAACGGAAGGTACCTATCCCATGCCGAGCCCTGCTCTAACGTGCAAGCCCGCAACATGTCCTCCAAGGTCTGGATAGTCCGCTCAGTCTGTTCATCAGTCTGAGGGTGATAGGTTGTACTCAGTCTCAACTGAGTTCCAAAAGCTCCCTGCAGCGCCTCCCAGAACCGAGATGTGAATTTCGGGTCCCTATCACTAATGATACTCTCGGGCACCCCGTGAAGCCTCACAATCTCACGAACACACAGTTTAGCCAACTGCTCTGAAGGGAAACTCACCCTTACCGGAAGAAAGTGGGCAGACTTCATCAGTCTGTCCACAATGACCCATATCGAGTCACAACCAACCTGAGTCTTCGACAAACCCACAACGAAGTCCATGGAAATGCTCTCCCATTTCCATTCTGGAATCTCAAGAGGTTGGCGTTTAACAACGGCTTCTGGTGTTCAATCTTCATCTTCAAGCATCAGAACAAAAGGTCACACAACAACAATGCCCTTCCGCATTCCAAGACACACCGTCCTGATTTTTCTCAAAAAGCTCATTCCCGACTCTCACAGTCTCCATCTCGAGAAGGAAGTCACATTCAGATCTCGAAACTTCACAATGACATCGAAAACGTCATTCGATTCTCTGGGATCATCAGTCACTTTCTCAACAGAGGCGGCCTTACCCCACATACTCTATTCCACACAATAACTTGAGTGAGTTTGGTCCTATTCCATGACTCTAACATCGATTAGACTTATAATTTTATAAATCATTATTTTTAAAATAATTTCATGTTCCTTTCACAGTACGAAATCATAATCATGTTCATCTCACCCAATGCATGTTAGTTAACATGCTCATTCACATAGTAACGTACCTTAGTTCACGTACACCTGCAAAATTTTAAATTTCAATAACATAATAAATCAGAAGCTCTATAAAATAGTATACCTCAATCTCCATGGCATATGCAACTCAAAAGTCAATCAACGGTGAAATAACATAGATACATCACCACAATTTATCGTACATATGTCATGCTTTACACTACCCATGGTGTTAACATGCCAACTACTTATGAAGCATATCAATAATCAACATAAGAACCTAGAGTCATGGAGACCACTCAACCCTCAAGCTAATTGTACATGCACTGCCTCGCATATACAAGAACGCGCGTGGCCTTGCCACAAATTCCAAGTGTTACACACTCAGTTTCCTGAAGAGAATTTCACATCCTCCAACAGAGCACCATCACGCTTGAGTAATGGCGTAAGGCATCTTGCCTCAAAACAACATGACCGGTGCTTCCCACGGAGACACGCTCGTTCGGAAGAAGTCTTTCGCCGAAAGACCCTCAGAACGCTACTTCAACTCAGCCAACTCTGGTGGCGACATCCGATATGGAGCTAACAAAATCGGCCCCACACCAGGCAACAAGTCAATGGAGAACTCTATCTCCCTCTGTGGCGGAAACTCAGGAATCTCCTCTGGAAATACTCCGAGGAATTCCCTCACCACAAGAATGCCAGTGATATCCTTCTGTGTCCCACTCACTAAACCTCCCAACATGACATATCCGAATGCCCCTGCTCTCAAGGCCTTCCTAGCCTGCAGCAATGAAATGTAAGGCGAGGAACTAGCTGCGGAATCACACGGAGACATCACCACTCGCTAGGCACAACAATTAATCAATCAATCAACTATTGGACAATCCATCCACGCCAAGGATGATTTCCAAATTGGCCATCGGCAACCCTATCAGATCTACCGAGAAGTCACAGCCCTCCCACTGAAACACGACATCTCGATGTACAGTGGTAGCATCACACTTTTCTCCGGTGGCGGTAGTCACCCGCAACGGTGGAGAAAACACAGACATGGGCAACTCAAGCCCCAAAGCAATCGGGGTTGCAACAAACGAATTTGTAGCCCCGGAATCAAACAATACATCAACAGATGAATCACCAACATACACAGTACCTCTGACAAGGTTCAGAGCTCAATCTGAATGATGCCTATCCAAAGTGTAGACACGCCCAATAGCAGGTGGCACTGCAGGTGCCGAAGTAGGTGCCAAAGGAACTATCTGCAATGGAACTACCTGAACAGTTGCAGCTCTCGCCGTCGACGACGGACAGTCTCTAGAAAAGTGGCCCTCCTTGCCACACTGAAAGCATACCAACTGCCCCGAAGCACAACGTCCACATGCTCATTTCCACACCCCGAACATCTAGGAGTGGAAGGAGGCCTCGCAAAGCTTCCCTGCTGCGGAGAAGTCCTCTTGAACTAACCAGGCGCCTGCCTAGTCGCAAACTGTATTCCTTTGCCTTTCTCAGCAAACCTCCTGTCCTTCCAGGAAGTGGAACCACTCGTTCTTTTGGTCTCATCAACCTTGGCCCTCTTGGCCTTGCTTGTAATATAGACATCCTCAATGTCCTAACACTGCTAAACCAGTGTACCAAAATCCCTCGAAGCAGCTCCAGCAAGATGCTCTGCAATCACCTCACTAAGTCCCCTGCGAAACTTAGCAGCCAAAAACATCGGAGTAGGCACTGCCATCCGAAAGTGTGCAAATTTCACCAGCTCATTGAACTTGGCCAGATACTCGTCAACAGACAACGAGCCCTGCACCAACCTGTCGAACTCCCCCTGCTTCGTCTCCTGCACATCATACGGGAAGTACCGACCCAGAAAGCAATCCTCGAAGAACGGCCACGTCATAACATGACCCTGCATCTCGAAAGCGTGAGAG